TCATGGTTCCGGTGGTTCTCATGGTTCAGGTGGTTCTCATGGTTCCGGTGGTTCTCATGGTTCTGGTGGTTCTCATGGTTCTGGTGGTTCTCATGGTTCAGGTGGTTCTCATGGTTCCGGTGGTTCTCATGGTTCTGGTGGTTCTCATGGTTCTGGTGGTTCTCATGGTTCCGGTGGTTGTCATGGTTCCGGTGGTTTTCATGGTTCCGGTGGTTCTCATGGTTCAGGTGGTTCTCATGGTTCTGGTGGTTCTCATGGTTCAGGTGGTTCTCATGGTTCTGGTGGTTCTCATGGTTCAGGTGGTTTGTCATGGTTCCGGTGGTTCTCATGGTTCCGGTGGTTCTCATGGTTCAGGTGGTTCTCATGGTTCCGGTGGTTCTCATGGTTCTGGTGGTTCTCATGGTTTCAGGTGGTTCTCATGGTTCAGGTGGTTCTCATGGTTCAGGTGGTTCTCATGGTTCTGGTGGTTTTCATGGTTCCGGTGGTTCTCATGGTTCCGGTGGTTCTCATGGTTCTGGTGGTTCTCATGGTTCAGGTGGTTCTCATGGTTCCGGTGGTTCTCATGGTTCAGGTGGTTCTCATGGTTCAGGTGGTTCTCATGGTTCCGGTGGTTCTCATGGTTCCGGTGGTTCTCATGTTCTCGTGGTTCTCATGGTTCAGGTGGTTCTTATGGTTCCGGTGGTTCTCATGGTTCCGGTGGTTCTCATGGTTCAGGTGGTTCTCATGGTTCCGGTGGTTGTCATGGTTCTGGTGGTTCTCATGGTTCAGGTGGTTCTCATGGTTCCGGTGGTTGTCATGGTTCTGGTGGTTGTCATGGTTCTGGTGGTTTTCATGGTTCCGGTGGTTCTCATGGTTCCGGTGGTTCTCATGGTTCTCATGGTTCTCGTGGTTCTCATGGTTCAGGTGGTTCTTATGGTTCCGGTGGTTCTCATGGTTCCGGTGGTTCTCATGGTTCAGGTGGTCTCATGGTTCCGGTGGTTTGTCATGGTTCTGGTGGTTCTCATGGTTCAGGTGGTTCTCATGGTTCCGGTGGTTGTCATGGTTCTGGTGGTTGTCATGGTTCTGGTGGTTTTCATGGTTCCGGTGGTTCTCATGGTTCAGGTGGTTCTCATGGTTCCGGGTTCTCATGGTTCTAGTGGTTCTCATGGTTCAGGTGGTTCTCATGGTTCTGGTGGTTCTCATGGTTCAGGTGGTTGTCATGGTTCCGGTGGTTCTCATGGTTCCGGTGGTTCTCATGGTTCAGGTGGTTCTCATGGTCTCATGGTTCTTGTGGTTCTCATGGTTCCGGTGGTTCTCATGGTTCCGGTGTTTCTCATGGTTCCGGTGGTTCTCATGGTTCCGGTGGTTCTCATGGTTCCGGTGGTTCTCATGGTTCCGGTGGTTGTCATGGTTCTGGTGGTTCTCATGGTTCCGGTGGTTGTCATGGTTCCGGTGGTTCTCATGGTTCAGGTGGTTCTCATGGTTCCGGTGGTTCTCATGGTTCTGGTTTCTCATGGTTCCGGTGGTTCTCATGGTTCCGGTGGTTCTCATGGTTCCGGTGTTTCTCATGGTTCCGGTGGTTCTCATGGTTCTGGTGGTTCTCATGGTTCCGGTGGTTCTCATGGTTCCGGTGGTTCTCATGGTTCAGGTGGTTCTCATGGTTCCGGTGGTTCTCATGGTTCCGGTGGTTGTCATGGTTCTGGTGGTTCTCATGGTTCTGGTGGTTCTCATGGTTCTGGGGTTCTCATGGTTCTGGTGGTTCTCTGGTTCAGGTGGTTTCATGGTTCCGGTGGTTCTCATGGTTTCACGCTGCCTGTTGCTGGGAGTCTGATGTGTTTATAGAAAGAGTCTCATGTTATGAACAGATAGAATATAGAATGAAATGTTTCCAGACGGTTTCTGTTTCACACTAAAACAGAAAATCTTTGACAGAATCTATTTTTTCCTCAGTCGTCCTGAACGGCTTTCAGTTTTCCTTTGTAAGCTCTTTGTCTTCTGTTCCAAACACGTCTTACATTAAAAACTGCATTAATGGCCAGATGTGTTTCACAGCTGTTGGTTCCCAGTAAAAACCTCCAGGCTCTGAAAACGGGGGATTCCCATAAAAGAGCTGCTGCAATAAGAACCGAACCGGAACCAGAGCAGAACAGGAGGAGTCGGATCAGGTCAGTAAAGATTCGCTCTGGTTGTGACATTTCAGAGTCACATCCTGAGGATTAAAGCTCCTCACAGTGAGAGCATTTAAACTGTTTATTCCACAAGCTCTCTACATTTATCTTTGTTTTTGGATATATTCACGCTTGCACTATAAAAAAATATATGAATGTTCAAACTTTTTCAGTGGACATAAGAGAACGAGACTTCTGTTCCTCACTTCCCTGTCAGTCGGTTCAGATCTGTTGAGAATCTTATGGACTTTGAAAACCTTTAAATCCCACAACCAGCAGTTGCTTCATTCTAGGGTAGCTAAGCTAGGCTAGGCTAGGCTAACACTGCTGACCTCTCTCTTTTGTGGTGATAAATTAGTTTTAAAGTGAGGACAGCAGCAGTTTATTACAGGTTTATTAATGGTATTAACTAACTAGTAAAGGTCGTAACCACATTATATTCCTGTCAGCATGATGTATTGGCTTGGATTAACTGATCATCAGTTTGCTAACCTGTAGAAACATCATTATCATACAGTTAGCTTCATGCGCAGTTAGCTTGGAGAGCCCGTTCTCCCTGAGGGTTCTCTCTGGGTACTCCGGGTTCCTCAGTCCGTTGCGTTCAGTCATTTCCAGAGGACCTTTGGTATGAGTGCTTCCTGTGTGTCTCTGTATCTGTGCTGACGTTGTCCATACAGGTGTTTAAACTGGAATAACGAAAATAAATTTACTTAATGGAAAAAAAATCTAATTGGAAATAAACGTTAGATGAGGCGGCTTTCTTCTTTGTTTATCAAAATTGAAGGTGAACACTTTTTTTCCGTCACACTAGTGCAACATCGTGTTGCAGTAGCATCAGGATGTTGCTACTGCTGGAAAACATGAAGAAGATGCTGGAGTAGCTGGAGGATGATGGTGCCATGTTTTTAATTCATCACATGAACAAAGTTATTCATATGTGATTTTAGAAGCTGCTGGGTGACATGTTGTTTCCATAACGACTCAACCGTCGTCATGGAAACATCAGGCTACATGTCCACAGACAGAAATCATTAATAACCTAGCTTGTTAGCTAACAGTGTTAGCTTGTTAGCTAACAGTAACCTGTTAGCTTGTTAGCTAACAGTAACCTGTTAGCTTGTTAGCTAACAGTAACTGTTAGCTTGTTAGCTAACAGTAACCTGTTAGCTTGTTAGCTAACAGTAACCTGTTAGCTTGTTAGCTAACAGTAAACTGTTAGCTTGTTAGCTAACAGTAACCTGTTAGCTTGTTAGCTAACAGTAACCTGTTAGCTTGTTAGCTAACAGTAACCTGTTAGCTTGTTAGCTAACAGAACCTGTTAGCTTAGCTAAGCTACCTGTTAGCTTGTTAGCTAACAGTAACCTGTTAGCTTGTTAGCTAACAGTAACCTGTTAGCTTGTTAGCTAACAGTAACTTGTTAGCTAGACTTACTGTTAAAATAACTGGATTATTTCCAACCAGACCTCCAGCTGGTTCTGGTCTGGGACCGGGTTTTGATGTTCTGGTCTGGCACCAGTGGCCCGTTTTCAGCTTCCTTGCCTGATTCCTGGACCAGTTCTGGTTCTGGTCCGGTTCTGTCTGCAGCTATAGAGTCTGCGCAGATGGAAGTAATGAAGTGTGAACGGCGCGGTTCTGTTTGGTGACGTAATCTACAGAAGCGTTTCTGTCCCTGGTCACATGGCCGGAGCTCTGGGAAAACACGGAGCGGATCAGGTGGAACCGAGCGCCGCAGCAGTTTTTATCTGATGTGAGTTCTGGTGGTTTCATCGGCGTTTCCTCAGCTGCTCTGTTGGTCTCAGCCTGGAGTTTTAGGAGCCGAACCCAAATTACTTTCTTTAAATGTGTTATGTGAAATAAAAAAACATTTTCATATGTTTGTGTTTTTGGACAATTAATTAGAGATGATCAAACTTTTCTCTGCATTTGGGTTTTATGATCTGAACCAAAGTTCGGTCCTTCAGTGTTGACAGAAAAATCAGTGTTTCCATGGCAACCAGATGTCGGTGTGCGAAAGCCTCTCATTCAAACACGAACTCATCATTCCAGAATCACGTCATCAACAGCTCAGGGGTCAAAGGTCATGGTCAGGCAGGTCCAGCTTAGGGCAGGTCGGCTTCATGAAGCCGTTCATAAGTGAACATGAACATTCAGATCAACAAAGAGCACGACCCCTGACCCATGACCTAATGGAACGTCCTGTTCATGACCTATTGACCCTATCAGTGACATGATGCCATTATCAGTGTTGCTCTCAACCTGGATGGACGTCAGAACGGTTCTGAAGGTCCAGATATTGTGGGACCGGATCCTCCCAGAATCAACCGCGGTCCTCCGGGTCGGTCTGCAGCTAACCGCTAACAGTAGCTGCTGCATTGCTAACCAATCAGCAACTTTCTTGTTACATTTAGAAAATTGGCAGAGAAATTATTGATATGGAGCAGAAATCTGCAATCGTGCAGCTCCAGTTTTTATCCCATCAATATTTCAAAGGTTTCTTTCTGACTTTTGAAGCAAATTGTTAAATTTCTAGCAGAATCAGAACAGAAATCAGATCAAATGAATCCTCAGTTTGGAGTACCCTGAGGGTTCTGATGAAGCGGGCCCCATCCGGGCCCAGTCAGCAGCAGCCAATCAGCAGCCAGCTCTGCCTGCTTGGGTCCAGTCATGTGACCCAGAGTTTAAATCCAGACTGACGGCGCCGAGCCGACAGAAGCCTCCAGACGGCCGACCTCACCTGGCAACACTTCCTGTCCGAGACGCACCGCCTGACCTCCGCTGACCTCTGCTGACCTCTGCTGACCTCTGCTGTCAACCTGTGATCGGAGCTGCAGGAAGAAGCCAGGTGAGTCTGATACAACGATCCTTCGTGTCTCCATGTCTCGTCCGTGTCGGTCGGTGGAGCAGCAGGTTTTCCATTAGTGAATCATGTGAGTCTCTGGGTTTCCTGCAGGATTTCGGCTCCATTAATCCTTTCATCAGTTAGAAACATGAAGCGTCTGGTTCATGTTTGAACTTTTCATGACTTTTTATTGAATAAATAATAAACTGTTTGCTCTGCTAACCAATCAGAAGCCAGGATGTTCCCACCTGTAAACACGCAGCAGCTCCACCTGAAATCAGATGAAGTTTCTGTGCCTAGCAGGAATATTATGGGATGTCTGCTGATTTCTGCCTGCTGAGGAAGAGGAGGAGAGCCTTCATCCTGCCAGATTAGGAAACCACGTGAGTCTGTTTCCCTCTGAGGCCAAAATAACCCAGATTTGATTAAAGTCCTGCAAACGGGACATGGAGACGCCACAGGGAAGTAAGTACACCCGTCCACCAGGCGGCGCTAAATCTCTCAGTGACTATAAAACGGATCTGATGCATCCTGCAGGAGCAGAGCGTGAAAAAGTAAGTACACCCTCCAGCAGCAGGTGCAGGAGCGCTGATCCATTCAGGTTATGTTCAGACTACCGGTCAGGCAGAGGCCTGGACTTTGACTAGGCCATTGCAGCACCTTGAATCTCTTTGTTTCTGTCGTTCAAATCTGCTGCTGTTTGGACCCAGATCTCAAACCATCACACCTCCACTGCTGTGCTTCACAGCAGGTCTGCTGCATCTTGATTCCTCCATCTTGGTTTCCTCCATCTTGATTCCTCCATCTTGGTTTCCTCCAATCTCAGTTTTCTTCACTAAACCTCAGAGAAACATTTTCGGCCTTCTGTCGTTTGTCAGGTGTCATCCGTCGGCCATCTTTGTTCTCTGCCGCCATGCCGACCACTGCTGTGGGCAGGAAATTGGATTTGTCCAAACTGACGGACGAAGAGGCCAGACATGTGTGGGACGTCGTCCAGAGAGACTTTGACCTGCGGAGGAAGGAAGAGGACCGACTCGGGTAAGTTCAGAAATGAATTAATTAGTGATCAGTGGTGAGAACCACTAGCTCAAGAGCTAGCTGCGCTAATGCTGAAGCACTAAGTGTTATGACAACATGGTATTTAGCTGAAGCTCACGCTAAAGCGCTAAATTCTTCCATAATGAATTAAAGTTAACATAAATATAAACATCTGAATAATAAAAAAAATTCTTCAGTCAATAATCAAAACTTCAACTCAAACTTTATTCAACTAAACAGCCAAGAAAAGTGCTGCAGAAATGTACTTCAGTTGAAGCTAAATGTGTTCAGAGTTACCAAAACCGCTAACTATAAAATTAGCTGTGCTGTCAGTGGGTTAGTGGACGTGTTTCCATTAGTGCTAATTATTTTAGTTGAATTAGTTATTTAGTTTTCAGCAGCTGTTGATAGAAATACACGAGTCGATTAGCATCACATTATTTATCCGGTCAGCTAGAAGTTCAACTCTTTGAGGAGAACACGACTTCTCTGACTGCGTCGTGTCAAGTGGGAAGTTTGGTGGAAGGAGGATCTTGGGGCTCAGCTGTTGTTCAGGAGTTCAGCCTTTTACCAACCCAAGACATGTTGGGAGGGTAAAAGGCGACGGCTCATTTCCTGTTCCAACATGTGTGAATATGTTTAGAATGAAACCTGAAGCCTTCCTGTCCAACATCAGTGTCTGACCTCATTAATATGAATGAGGAAGAATGAACAAAAATCCCCCTGATCAAACTCCTGACTGTCTGTAAAACCTTCATAGCAGAGCTGATGATATTAAACCTTAACAATTAATAAATAGCCAGACGACTGAGGGCTTCACTAATGTTATCATCTTAGCTTCTGTGACCTCTGACCTCTGGCCACTTGAACCGTTCTGGATCCAGGATTCACCTCCTAAAATAGACAGAGGGGCAAGGCCAGCAGAGGGGCGGGGCCAACACTGTAGGCCATTTTGTTAGCATTCCTGGCTAGCTCTCTGCTGCAGTTACTTGCTTCCATCTGAATGTTTGTTCCTGTGAAGCTGCTGCTGTTTCTTCCTCTGCGGTTCTGAACTGGTTCTGCTCTTCATGTGGTTTTCACATAAAACTGTCCAAACCTCTGCAATGGAACCCAAATATGTTGGTTCACAGTTTGCAAAAAAGCAGCAGGAGGCAAAACATTTTCTCTGTTTTCTGCTCGGCCCACAGAGTTCATGTTATGAATACATTTATTCACTTTTGTTGAAAGAATCAAAAAACAAGCATCAGGTTCAGTTTATTATTCGCTAAAAGGAAAAACTGAAATAAATCTAAACCCTGACTCTATCAGACTGAAACAAAACTGAGCCTTAAGGAGGAATTATTAGAGATAAATCCTGTTAGAGTTTAATAACATTTAACATTCAGCATCATGATGAAGGTTTTATAATATTAATGCTGATGACCACATGATTCCACCTGAGACCAATAAACTCCTGAACTGAAGGGTGTACTTACTTCTGTCCTGACTTCATGCTCACAGAAAATGTTTCTTATTTTAATAATCTGTGGCCTTAAAGGCTCATAAAACATGTAGATCTTCAGAACTGGTTCCTGGTTTCATATCCATAATTTCCTCCCGGCGTTAGAACTTTATTCATTCACTTTCATAAAACAGAAACGGCTTCGCCATAAAAATGGTCAAGAACTATTTTTATGGTGTTTGTCATAAAAATATAACAAACCGATTACACTGCTGCAGCTTTGTTCTTTTAAGAAGAACACTAAACTTTGCATGAAGTAAAAGGCGTCTCAGTTTGTCGGACGGTGGAGAATATTCCTGTTTTTCTGGAAGAAACCATCAAATCTGCCGTGATGCTGATAACAGCAGCAGCTGCAGAAAGCAGCACTTTCTGAGAGCCTGGATTTGTTTGGAAGTTGGAAACGTAAAAGCGTCAGTCAGGCAGAATAAAGAAACGTCTGGCTGCTGACCCCAGATTCCTCAGGTCTGCTGTGAAACTCTGCAGTTAATCACAACCAGCAGAAACCTGGAGCAGGTTCAACCGTCTGAGAGCAGAAACTAGTTTCACCAAAGAAAACTAGAGATGTCACTTTTTGGTCCAATTTATCATTGTGAAAAAGCCTTTGACATGTTACTAGCCCAACTGTTTTCCTGTCCAGTTCTGGTTTTAATCTACAGCAGAAATTCTGCCGTTTTTAGCTTTTTATATTTGTAAAAGTCACATTTTCAAACTAAATACTTTAAAGTTAAATATTGAGTGAACATCTAACTTCAAGCTCAATGTTTAGCTCAGAGCTACATATGTAGCTCAGAGTTAGCGTAGCCAGCTGTGTATTAGCGGTGGCTAACCCATCTGAGTGCTAACTGGAGTTTGGCTTCGCTGTTTCCACTCAGTGAGTTTATTCCCTGTGAAATGAAGAGCAGATCATCGAAGAGCCGTTTTGTCCCGACATCCAGAACTGAAACCAGGTTCAACCTGAACTCTTCCTGGTGGCTTCGCTGCTTTCTGCTCTCAGACCGTGGAAGGGAATCCTGCGCTCCAGATTTATGGGATTTGCAGTTTAATAGTACTGAGAATTTTCAGCTAATTTTACTTTGAAATCATTCAGAGTTTAAACCAAAGCAGTTGTGTGCGATGGGTTGAGGAATCCTGAACCATGTCCCACTGAGCTAGTGATATGGGCCATAATTCAACCAGTATGGTCCAAACAAAAGCCTTCAATAAGCAATAAAACTCCCCTAGTCCTTTAGGAATAGTTTCTTATTTCTGTTTTTCAGCTGGGACATTTGGGGCTTGTTATCTGAATAGTTTCCCCTCTGCTGCAGCCAGCGTCTCTCTGAGGTGGGCTTTAACCTCTCCACCAATCAGACGCTTTATTTTCAGTTCTGCAGCAGAAAACATTCGGCTGGAGGCGGTGAAATTATCCCAACACCAGAGCGGCTGCAGGACGGTGCACAGAAAGGCACTTTTCTCTGCACATTTCTCAGCTTCGCTTCAGGACTTTTTCTGCTCTGCAGTTTCTCTGTAAACTTGATTGATTGTGTGAAGGAGTGAAAACAGCATAATCCCACTTCTTCCCAGAAAAAGTCTTCTTCTGTCTTTCATCAACTCTTATTTGTTAGAAAAACAAGTCAAAGGAAAGTCTGCGCGCTGCAGTTGTCCAGTTTGTTTATTTAGCTGCGATCAGCGGCTTGGAAACTCACTTTGACTTCATGTCTGCAGTTTGGAAGAGTTACTGCTTCAGCAGTTTGGGGGAAGTGTTGTGGATGAGTTGTGCTGGACACTGTTAGCGTAGCTTAGCATCGTGCTAGACTCAGCCCAGTGGAATAAACTCACAGAGATGAAGCTACTTTTCACACTGAGGTTTTATGAGGTCTCAGTATCTGACCTGCAGCAGGGAGATCGGCCTCAAGGGACAGAATCACAGATCCAAGCTAAACACCGCACAAAGCAGAGGCAATTTAAGAGTTAAGTCATTCATACCAACTACAATTTTAAGAAAAATCTATTGTTAGTTTTTTAGAGTTTGTTTTATTGTTTACATGAAGTATTTCAGAGGAAAACTGAATTATTTAGAAAAGAGTCAGATTATGCTTGAGGCTCTGCAGGATGGCTGTTGTCCAAACTGTGGTTTAGATACTGTCTGCTCATGACTAATCCAGACAACCCAACTAAAGCAAACTGTGCTTGAAGCATCAGGTGTTGAGTTTTGACTGAAAACATGGAGACATCAGGATTTGTTGCTGAAGGTTCTGTTCGGTCCGGTTGTTTTCCAGCGAGCTGAAGAGTAAAATAGAGAAAGAAGACAGCAAGCGGGAGCTGCTGGGGGTCCGGAGCAGCTTGGCCGAGTCCTACTGCATCCGCTGCCTTCAGCCCTTCAGGTTCCTGCTCAACATCAGGCGCCAGTGTTTGGACTGCCAGCTTTACGTCTGTCGCTCCTGCAGCCGCTTCAGCAGGAGGGAGCAGGGCTGGCTGTGTGAGCCCTGCCACCTGGCCAGGTAAAGCCACCCGGTTCTGTCCCCTCAGGTCGTCACACACCAGGAAGAGCTCAAATGTTATTCTTGAACTTTCTGACTGATTTGTCAAAGTTTCTCAGTTGGACTCAGTGGAAGCAGAAATAACTGAGAACAAACTGAAGTTTTGTTTCAAGGCAGATTTCTGCAGTTCATATAACATCCATGATTTACCTGGTTCCAGCTGTTCCAGCTGTTCCAGCAGCTGTTCCTCATTATAGCATTATAATGTCTTATAATGCTGTAATGCATTATAAGACATTATAATGCATTATGAGCTATAAGCTCGTTACTATTAGCAATTAGTGTTGAATCTTGTTGGTGTTCTTGCTGATTTCTTGTTGTGGGCGGGGATTTACACAGGTGTGCGAAATCTGAAATCTGTTAATAAAAGGCCACAGGTTGCTCTGGTGAGCACCGCACACCGCACCGCACACCGCACCGCACCGCACACGCACAGCGCACCGCACAGACCGCACCGCACAGCGCACTCAGGCCAAATGAAGCTGAAGGCTGTGTTGTTTTTCCTCCGTCACTACCCGGCATTTCCAGCCCTTTAAAGATGGCAGCGTCAACAATTAGCCTCTTTTCAACTTATGAACTCAAGCATACTAATGTCATCTAAATTAGCTTTTTCAGTTTAACTACCTATGAGTTAAACAGCTTAAGCTGGCGGAAGCTAAAGTCATCTAAGTGTTTGAGGTTAATTGTTGTTTTAAATATTCATATTTTAGAAAAACACTGGATGTTTAAGAATTCAAAAATAATGGTTATTCTCTGTTATAGTTTGTGCAGAACGTTGAAGGATATAAGTGCCTGAATGTAATGAATTTCTTCTGGTTCCTGCTGACATCCAGCCGTTTTATTACGTTTCTGCGTCGTTGTCTTGATCTCTGCAGCTGTGTGAGCAGATCCTGGTTTTCCCAGGATTACCTAAACGCGAGTGAAGCTCATGATTGACATCCTGGCTCTGTGTTTGAACAGAGACTCCTTATGTAACGCCTGCAGCTCACTGTGCTGCCATAAAAATGTAAACATCTAGCTCCTTCCAGCTCCATGTGCAAACCGTCATGCTATTGTTTTCTGAAATGTTGCATCAGCAGTTCATGGATCCACTTCTCCTCCAGAATCTTCCAGAAATGCTGGTTTGGTGTTTCTAATGCTGGTTTTTCTTGCAGGGTTCTGAAGATCGGTACTTTGGAGTGGTACCATGAGAACGTCCGGGGCCCGATTCAAGCGCTTCGGCAGCGCCAAGGTGATGCGATGTCTGTTTAAGAGGCTGAGCGGGGAACACAGCCGCTCCCAGAGCCCCAAAGGTCAGAGCTCCACTAATCTGGTTTACAGGAAACTCAGCCAAAGATCAGCTTCAAACGTTTGTTCCAAAATCTGCATAAAGTGAGCGACACGTGACACCACTTGACTCTAAAAACACTTAGCTAGAAGATTAGGCCCTCACTGATTAACTGAAACTGCTCAGTGGCTAAACAGTGTGGCTGCTGAATGGCTGCCAGGTCCAAGATGGCTGCATGAGGAGGGAAATGAACTAAACTAAAAACCACAAGAGCATTAGGACGGCCTTCAGTGGAAATGTGAACAAATTACCATCTGTTTCACTTCTCCTCCTGGAAGCCCTGAGGAGTCGCTGCTGGTCAACAGTTCAATCTGCTGCAGCCAGAAAACTCGGACGTGGAGTCAGGGAAGTCTGTTTGAGCTTAGCAGGAGAAATCCCAGAAAATGAACGACTTCGCTGAGAGTCAGCAGCTGCAAACTGTCAGGAAGGACAGAAAAAATGTGAAGCGAAGTCCTCTGAGCTCAGTCACTCACTGTTCATGTGTAAACGGCATTATCAGCGGTGGGAACATTTCTGCTAATCCGCTCATAGCGTAGCTAACTGTTCATTTAGCACTTTAGTATTTTGCTAACGTTGAAAATGTTTTGCACATTTAGCTTCCCCTAAACTCTAAATCACTAATTTCTTTGGCTGTTTTATAAACTATCAGATGAACAAAGTTTGGCATCCATGTTGGAGTTTTGGTTCTCAACTGTTCTCAGATGTCTCATTCATGCTCTTATTCTGAAGGGAGTGAAACTTATTCTGATTCTATTTTTTCTTCTAAGAAACTTTATTGAGCAAAAGGCAACGAACGAACAGCCAGGACTGATCGTTAAACATTTATGCAAATGTTAACATGAATTTCACACGTTAGCATTAGCTTCTATTAAATACATTAAATGTTGGTGTAGCGCTTTAGCATTAGCTTAGCTAATGTTTCATTAGCGATGCAAACCACTGTGGATTATTGTCAGGATTTCAAAGACGTTTTACTTTTATTTTGAGTATAAATGTTAATGAACTCAAGCTGACAAACTTTCAGCTGCTAAACAGTATTTTCACCCCTAAAAGTTTTGTTCTCTTTTTACTTCTTGTCAATTTAAATGTTTCGGTGCATCAATTATGTTAAAGACTCTGTGCTTATCAGCTGCTGCAGGTGCAGCAAGCAGTTATTAGATTTATGGAGCATTATTTTTCCCATTTAACTTGGTTGGTTTGGATATTTTTCACAGATCTGTATTTCTTTAGCAAGAACAAAAAATAAAATACTGTAATTTTTAGGCTGAATTATGGTTATTTTGTTTTTATCAAATATTTGGAACATGGAAGGATAAATGCATCGTTTCATGCGATCAAACCTCCTTCATTCAAACTGGGAGAAATTATTTTCACACAACAGATTTTATTACTTTAGAAATGAGTCAGTCTGTAATTAAACTACTTTGCTTTTAGCTTCATCCTTTAATTTGTCACACATCTGTTGGTTAAAACATTCAGTCTTCTAACAGTAAGTCAGCAGGAAAAGCCAGATGTGACACAGGGATTTAATTCCATTTTTCCTGTTTTTCTCATCCGACTCACCACAGCTGCTCTTCAGCTCCACTCTCAGGATTTCTGCCCTCAGCAACCAGCTGCTTGCCTTTGAACTTCCTGTTTGCTCCTAAAAACCCCAGAATCAAAGATTTTACTGTGGCAAAAGACATGTTTGAAGTCCAAGACGAGGCTGTTTGTTGAACTTTGTTAAAGAGACTAAATCCTTGGAGGATTTTTTTCATCATCTTAAGAACATAAAACACAAAAGATGCACAAAAATCTTCATTTTATGTTAATATTGTAAAAAAATGTTATAAATTGTTTTACGTTAAACTATGATATTGCTTGCTTCAAAGCTTGGAACTCTTAGCATAGCTTTAGCTATGGCTTGAAGCTAATTCTGCCAAGTTTTCTTATTTTCATAACCTTTTTGCCAGCTATAACAGAAAAACTAAATTACATTTGATTAAGGCCAGGTGAACTACTTCATCGTCTCACCTAGCTAATGCTAAAAGCAGACAGATGTTGTGGTTTAGCTCTTTGAGCTAAGACGAAGACTGTTAGCCCTTTAGCTGATCAACATGAATCAATCATTTCTCACATCTCTCTGTTTAGCTAAAGCATTTTTAACAATATGGACAGATATAAGTTTAATTATTTTCTTCACTTTGAACAGATGCGCTAAGATCTTTAGCGTAGCATAAGCAACTATGTCACCAAAGCTAATATCAGCTAGCCTATGTAGCTAAGCTATGTTATATCAGTAGCATTTATGCCTTTGTGGTGTTTATTAATTTTTTTTAGCAGAAAATTATTATAAATAGAGTAAATAAATAGAAAACTGTAAAGGTAATGAATGGTAGTTTTTATGATGTTTCAGAACAGATGCATTTTATTTGTATGGAGGTAATTTAATGCCAGAACTAGGAAATAAAAGGAGCTTCAGTGTCTTTTTATAGTGACAGATTTTCTCATTAAAATAAAATATGTTCATGTTTGAACAGAAAATGTGGTAACAGTAGAAGTAAAGTCTGTTTTTTAGGAGTGTTCATCTGAATGATGTGTTTTACATTTCATGAAGATGATAAACTTCATGAAACTGCGTTCAGAACATACTCGGTGGTTCTGTTGGATCTGGGTTTATTTCAGCTGAAAGCGTTTTGATGTGCAGCAGAGACTCCTGCTGACGCTGAGTCACCGGCTGGCTCTCTGCGCCGAGCTGCAGCAGCAGGCAGAGACGCTGGCGGCCTTCTGATCTTCCTCACATGTCTCTGATTTTTGTGCGGGGCTCAGCGGAGCAAAGAGGAGGAGGCGGAAAGTTCTCATGTTCTCTGAGGAATGCAGCGTTATGATGATTATTATGAAACCGTCATAAATGCTAACAGAACCGGGACCAGATCCGCATCACATGCTGCGACTCATGTGACCATCTGGATTAAATTCAACATGCATGACTCCACACACACACACTCACACACACACACCCCCACACACACACACACACACACACACACACACACACACACACACACAGACAGGGAGTGCTGCTCTGCGGTCCGCCGGGCCCTCAGAGCTCGGAGGGAGTCCTGCTGTTAGCATAGCCTGCTAACAGAGCTTCATTTAATCCCAGCTGTTTTCATCATGACTTCATGTAGAGATGACTCTTTAACCTGATGATCTGTCAGGATAATAAAACGTAATGTTGCTCTTTATTACTGCAGGAAATGTCAGATTAAAATGAATTTAAAATAATTCCTGCCTGTTCCTTCCTTGTTTCTTCCTGTTTCTTCCTGTTCCTTCCTTGTTTCTTCCTGTTCCTTCCTGTTCCTTCCTTGTTTCTTCCTGTTTCTTCCTGTTCCTTCCTTGTTTCTTCCTGTTTCTTCCTGTTCCTTCCTTGTTTCTTCCTGTTCCTTCCTTGTTTCTTCCTGTTTCTTCCTTTTCTTCCTGTTCCTTCCTTGTTTCTTCCTGTTTCTTCCTGTTCCTTCCTTGTTTCTTCCTGTTCCTTCCTTGTTTCTTCCTGTTCCTTCCTTGTTTCTTCCTGTTTTCTTCCTGTTCCTTCCTTGTTTCTTCCTGTTCCTTCCTTGTTTCTTCCTGTTTCTTCCTGTTCCTTCCTTGTTTCTTCCTGTTTCTTCCTGTTCCTTCCTTGTTTCTTCCTGTTCCTTCCTTGTTTCTTCCTGTTCCTTCCTTGTTTCTTCCTGTTTCTTCCTGTTCCTTCCTTGTTTCTTCCTGTTCCTTCCTTGTTTCTTCCTGTTCCTTCCTTGTTTCTTCCTGTTCCTTCCTGTTCCTTCCTTGTTTCTTCCTGTTTCTTCCTGTTCCTTCCTTGTTTCTTCCTGTTTCTTCCTGTTCCTTCCTTGTTTCTTTCCTGTTCCTTCCTTGTTTCTTCCTGTTCCTTCCTTGTTTCTTCCTGTTTCTTCCTGTTCCTTCCTTGTTTCTTCCTGTTTCTTCCTGTTCCTTCCTTGTTTCTTCCTGTTTCTTCCTGTTTCTTCCTGTTCCTTCCTTTTTCTTCCTGTTCCTTCCTTGTTTCTTCCTGTTCCTTCCTTGTTTCTTCCTGTTTCTTCCTGTTCCTTCCTTGTTTCTTCCTGTTCCTTCCTTGTTTCTTCCTGTTCCTTCCTGTTCCTTCCTTGTTTCTTCCTGTTTCTTCCTGTTCCTTCCTTGTTTCTTCCTGTTTCTTCCTGTTCCTTCCTTGTTTCTTCCTGTTCCTTCCTTGTTTCTTCCTGTTTCTTCCTTGTTTCTTCCTGTTCCTTCCTTGTTTCTTCCTGTTTCTTCCTGTTCCTTCCTTGTTTCTTCCTGTTCCTTCCTTGTTTCTTCCTGTTCCTTCCTTGTTTTCTTCCTGTTTCTTCCTGTTCCTTCCTTGTTTCTTCCTGTTCCTTCCTTGTTTCTTCCTGTTTCTTCCTGTTCCTTCCTTGTTTCTTCCTGTTCCTTCCTTGTTTCTTCCTGTTCCTTCCTGTTCCTTCCTTGTTTCTTCCTGTTTCTTCCTGTTCCTTCCTTGTTTCTTCCTGTTCCTTCCTTGTTTCTTCCTGTTCCTTCCTTGTTTCTTCCTGTTTCTTCCTGTTCCTTCCTTGTTTCTTCCTGTTCCTTCCTTGTTTCTTCCTGTTTCTTCCTGTTCCTTCCTTGTTTCTTCCTGTTCCTTCCTTGTTTCTTCCTGTTTCTTCCTGTTCCTTCCTTGTTTCTTCCTGTTCCTTCTTTGTTTCTTCCTGTTTCTTCCTGTTCCTTCCTTGTTTCTTCCTGTTCCTTCCTTGTTTCTTCCTGTTTCTTCCTTGTTTCTTCCTGTTCCTTCCTTGTTTCTTCCTGTTCCTTCCTTGTTTCTTCCTGTTCCTTCCTTGTTTCTTCCTGTTTCTTCCTATTCCTTCCTTTTTTCTTCCTGTTCCTTCCTTGTTTCTTCCTGTTCCTTCCTTGTTCCTTCCTTGTTTCTTCCTGTTCCTTCCTTGTTTCTTCCTGTTTCTTCCTGTTCCTTCCTTGTTCTTCCTGTTTCTTCCTGTTCCTTCCTTGTTTCTTCCTGTTTCTTCCTGTTCCTTCCTTGTTTCTTCCTTGTTTCTTCCTGTTCTTCCTTGTTTCTTCCTGTTTCTTCCTTGTTTCTTCCTGTTCCTTCCTTGTTTCTTCTGTTCCTTCCTTGTTTCTTCCTGTTCCTTCCTTGTTTCTTCCTGTTCCTTCCTTGTTCTTCCTGTTCCTTCCTTGTTTCTTCCTTGTTTCTTCCTGTTCCTTCCTTGTTTCTTCCTGTTTCTTCCTGTTCCTTCCTTGTTTCTTCCTGTTCCTTCCTTTTCTTCCTGTTTCTTCCTGTTTCTTCCTGTTTCTTCCTGTTCCTTCCTTGTTTCTTCCTGTTCCTTCCTTGTTTCTTCCTGTTCTTCCTTGTTTCTTCCTGTTTCTTCCTGTTCCTTGTTTCTTCCTGTTCCTTCCTTGTTTCTTCCTGTTCCTTCCTTGTTTCTTCCTGTTCTTCCTATTCCTTCCTTGTTTCTTCCTGTTTCTTCCTGTTTCTTCCTGTTTCTTCCTGTTCCTTCCTTGTTTCTTCCTGTTCCTTCCTTGTTTCTTCCTGTTTCTTCCTTGTTCTTCCTGTTTCTTCCTGTTCCTTCCTTGTTTCTTCCTGTTCCTTCCTTGTTTCTTCCTGTTTCTTCCTTGTTTCTTCCTGTTTCTTCCTGTTCCTTCCTTGTTTCTTCCTGTTCCTTCCTTGTTTCTTCCTGTTCCTTCCTTGTTTCTTCCTGTTCCTTCCTTGTTTCTTCCTGTTCCTTCCTTGTTTCTTCCTGTTTCTTCCTATTCCTTCCTTGTTTCTTCCTGTTCCTTCCTTGTTTCTTCCTTGTTCCTTCCTTGTTTCTTCCTGTTCCTTCCTTGTTTCTTCCTGTTCCTTCCTTGTTTCTTCCTTGTTTCTTCCTGTTCCTTCCTTGTTTCTTTCTGTTCCTTCCTTGTTTCTTCCTGTTCCTTCCTTGTTTCTTCTGTTTCTTCCTTGTTTCTTCCTGTTCCTTCCTTGTTTCTTCCTGTTCCTTCCTTGTTTCTTCCTGTTCCTTCCTTGTTTCTTCCTTGTTTCTTCCTGTTCCTTCCTGTTCCTGCTTCCAGAGCGTCCAGACTTTGACACCCGCAGTGAGCCGGAACGTCACAGTGAGTCCATGTTCTCCAGTCGTTTTATTAAAACTCATGTTTTCCAAGCAGGTAGGAATGATTTATGATCATAGAGTCTATATTTATCTGCCTGATTGCAGTTGGATTTTCTTTATGACACAATTCATTAAAGTCCATCAAACATTATGAAGCAGCAGAAAGTTGGAATAAATAATTTCTGTTTATTTAAACATCTGAACTTCAGATTTAATCTCCTGCAGAAACAGAGAAAATACACAGAAAGTTTTATTTTCTCATATTTTCCATCGTTAAGATGAGTTTTCCAGGCTGATCCAGTCCAACAGAACCAGGCCAGAGACGGGACATATTGATTTATGTTCGAGCCGATCCTGTATCTGATTCTGGATCTTATTTCTTCTTTCGTTATCGTTTCTCTGCATGTTTTGCCGTCTCTGGTTCTGATGCAGCTGCAGAAAACAACGTCCAACTTTCCACACGTAACTCACAAGCATTTCATGAAACATAATCAGCAGATGTTAACCTGGAGTAAATTTACTTTGAGCTATCTGATTAGCATCTCAAAAGCTAAAATAACACATGAACTCTGACCCCAGTTGAGCAGGAGGCTTCATGGATGCAGATGAGGATGGGATCTCAGACTCCAACGTCTCTCTGATCAAACGGTTAAAGAGGAGCAGCAAAAGCAAAAAGAGGTGGATTAGCAGAGCTAGCTAACAGCTGATGAGGTCATCCAGGATCTTCTTGAGGAATATCTTCTCTGCTGTCTTCATAATGAACTGTTAGCATGTTAGCATGGGACTGTTAAACAGTCTTCAGTCAGAGGCCTCTTTAGATTTGTTGAACACTGTCTGCTACTGGAGAATCTCCTCCATGTTTGGATGAAAAGACGAGGAGTCAATGTTTATTCAGCTGTTAGCAGTTAGCCGCAGCTATCAGTCGTTAGTTGTTTAGCAGTTAGCTGTGTAGTGAAGTCCAGGCAAATGTTAAAGCGGTTCTGCTGCAGTCCAGTAGGTTGGGAACAGAACGGTTCTGATCAGTCGGTTCCCTCCGTCTGCCTCCATTTTGTTTCTCCAGTTTGAGCTCAGAGGAAAACATGCAGCTTCATGGAACCGATCAAACATGTTCAGCTTCATTACAAGGATTGATTGTGATCATAGAAACTGATTAAATGTTTGGTTCTTCCTGCTCCAGTAAACTATTTTGTTCTTGATATGTATGCAGATCTTTTTCTCTGTTATAACTTTTGCTTGTTCTCGTTTTTTAAAAATCTGAAATAAAGAAATAAAATGAATCTGAGGTTTTAATGTGAAGCTCAGAGCTGACAGGTTCAGTCTGCAGGAAATAGTGATGGTAGCTTCATGACTCCATGCTGTCTGTCTGCAGGTGGATACGAGGAACTCAGTCTGGAGGCAGCAGACTCTCCAAACTTGCAGGTCCAAACCGTTTCACCTCGATATTATTTCTGCTACTGAGGCATCAGGAGCTCAGTTTGGGCTCTAATGATAAGATGATGACACTTTATAATAGTAATAATGATTAATTATAGCCACAGCAACGTAAATCTGAATAAAACGCTTCAAACAGGATATTTTTCTGTTTCTCCATCCTGCATACTGATGATGATGATGAAGATGATGATGATGAAGGTGATGATGATGATGATGATAATGAAGGTGATGATGATGATGGTGATGATGAAGGTGATGATGATGAAGGTGATGATGATGATTCTCTCTGAAGATGAAGAAGGCCAAACGGAGGCTGACTGTTGATCCCGTTGATTTCGTTCTCGGCTTCGATTACTCAGCAAACTCCAGACGTCAGGAGGATCAGGTAATGGATCAGACACCAGTACTCCCAGTACAGACACCAGTACTCCCAGTACAGACACCAGTACTCCCAGTATAGTTTTACTTTAATCGATCTGATCTCTGATGTTTTCAATAAATTCTTGCTCTAAATAAAAACCTGAAATTTGTGATCATGTGAAAATTTTCTGGAGGAATGGCGGCTATTTTCTCCAGACTGTCTGTGTCCTTCCTGCCTGCAGGGCGCCGGCGTTCAGGACGCGATGGACCCGATGCTCGCTGAGGCCGACCTGCAGGACGTTTTCCACCAGAACCTCCTGCAGGACAACCAGAGTCTGGACCTGGAGATGCATAATCAGCACGGTGAGGTCCCAGTTTGGTCCCAGTTTGGTCCAGTTTGGTCCAGTTTGGTCCAGTTTGGTCCAGTTTGGTCCAGTTTGGTCCCAGTTTGGTCCAGTTTGGTCCAGTTTGGTCCCAGTTTGGTCCAGTTTGGTCCAGTTTGGTCCCAGTTTGGTCCAGTTTGGTCCAGTTTGGTCCCAGTTTGGTCCAGTTTGGTCCAGTTTGGTCCAGTTTGGTCCAGTTTGGTCCAGTTGGTCCCAGTTTGGTCCAGTTTTGGCCAAGTTTGGTCCAGTTTGGTCCCAGTTTGGTCCAGTTTGGTCCAGTTTGGTCCAGTTTGGTCCAGTTTGGTCCAGTTTGGTCCAGTTTGGTCCCAGTTTGGTCCAGTTTGGTCCAGTTTGGTCCCAGTTTGGTCCCAGTTTGGTCCCAGTTTGGTCCCAGTTTGGTCCAGTTTGGTCCAGTTTGGTCCAGTTTGGTCCCAGTTTGGTCCAGTTTGGTCCAGTTTGGTCCAGTTTGGTCCCAGTTTGGTCCCAGTTTGGTCCCAGTTTGGTCCAGTTTGGTCCCAGTTTGGTCCAGTTTGGTCCCAGTTTGGTCCAGTTTGGTCCAGTTTGGTCCAGTTTGGTCCCAGTTTGGTCCCAGTTTGGTCCCAGTTTGGTCCAGTTTGGTCCCAGTTTGGTCCAGTTTGGTCCCAGTTTGAGAGCAGAGATCCACTTCAGACTCCACATGCTCAGCCAGCAGGTCAGAGGTCATGATAGGACTCCTCTGTGTGTCCAGATGAGATGGCGTACGCGGAGACCCGGACCGTCCCGTCCCGCTCCGTGTCCCGGCTCAGCTACTCGTCCTGCGGCAGCGGCAGCATCGGCCTGCGGGGCGGCAGCAGCTTCCTGCCCAGCCTGGACGACTCCGAGGACGACCTTTGCCCCCGGGTCCCGGTGTACCGGTCCCAACCGGACCCGGGCAGCCACACGTCTCAGGAGAGCCTGTGCTCAGCCGGCGCGGCGCCGCAGGTCCAGTAATCGTCCAGCAGATGGAGCCGATCGGTTAATAAATCCTGTTTGTTCCACAGAGCGACGACTCGCGTCGGCCTGCAGCGTCACAATCTGATTCACAAACTCTGAATTCTCCGTTTGTTCCGTTATTCCAGGAACCCGGACGATCCGGTGGGACAAACCGGAAGGTCGGCCTGTGAAACTGAAGGGATGATCAGACATGTTGATCTATTGTTAAAAGCTTAATCCACAAATAAATCTGATCAGAGGAAACCAGAGCTAAACTTTTAAACCTCCAAGCTCATGTCTGCTTGAAGCTGTGGCCCGGTTGGGTGATCCAACAGGATCCAGAGCGGTTCTGGAGCAGAAAAAGCAGGAAAACATGAAGTTTCTGGATTGTTCTCCCCAAAGCTCACCTGGGTCAACATCTGTGGGTTTTCCTTAAATCTGCTAAAACAGAAACTGGATGAATTCTTCATTTCTCAGTTTTTGCTTAATCACAAACTGTTAACAGATGGATTCTCATTTAGAGTTTCTGGTTCTGGTCGGAGGTGTCGGCGGCTCACTGAGCATCTGAAGGTGTTTGGATTCCTTGAAGACTTGCATCAGTGAACAGATTTCCCACATCGTCAACATGTTGGAGGCAGCTGCAGGATCGCATGCGGGCCAGAACCGTGACATCAGCGTCTCTCCGCAGCAACCCGACCCGTCAGCGCCGCTCATGAGAAACAGATCAACACCTGATGTCACGACAACCTCAGGGCTCATCCACACAGTGGACTAACCATGGGAACAGAGACACGCTCTGCACACCAGGTTCTGGAGTCAACAGCAGCCCTAAAGGTCACTTAAAGGTCACTTGAAGGTCACCGTCTCTGCTGATGTGTTTGGGTCTCTGACATCGTGGCGGCCCAAACCGGATGCTGGGAAGCCTCCAGACATGTGGCCGCCAGGCCTGCGGGGTTTCCCTCAGACGACCTGCAGGGGCCGCCGGTGGAGACGTGATGTCAGCGTTCCAGTCCCGTTTGACGGGCCAGGAGTCAAGGAGGACGGAGTCAGCAGAGTTACGCTGTGAACCACAAAAACCCAAACAAACGAGGGCGACGCTAAACCAGAATAACCATGACAACCAAACACCAGGAGGAGGCCGATGACGGAGCTGCTGACTCAGCAGGTCTCAACCAATCAGGAGAAACGAATTCCCAGCTGGACCAGGCGGTACCTTCATGGAGGCTCTAGGCTGGAGGACGGGTCCACTGTCAGGTCTGAGCTTTCTGGACCTGCAGGAATCATTGGGTATTTCCCACCTTGTGGTCCGGTAGACCCGGTTCTGATGGATCTCTCAGCGTAACTTCCTTCTTTACCAGGTGGAAACAAGATGGTGCTAGGCTAGCATGTTAGCTTTGGTTGTATTTACCCAGAATGCCCTGTGCTGTGGTCATACCAGAGTCAAATTCTGCTTCTCAGTATCTGATTCTAGGTCTGGTTCTGATTCTAGGTCTGGTTCTGATTCTAGGTCTGGTTCTGATTCTAGGTCTGGTTCTGATTCTGGGTCTGGTTCTGGTTCTGGGTCTGGTTCTGGTTCTGGGTCTGGTTCTGGTTCTGGTTGGTGTCGTGATGCCAAACCTTCAGGGATTATAAACTACCAGCAGGATTTAAACGAATCCTGGATGAGTTTCTGACCTGAGCCTTTAGAAATGTTCTGCAGCTGGTACACGGCTCACTTTGGAACCGGCTTTATGTGGCTCTGGAGGCTCGGGTCAGAGGTCAGAGGTCAGCATGATCTCTGGTTCACAGCTGGAACAACTGAAGCTGACTCTAGATGTATAAATCTAGATCTATAGGTCCAGATTGTTCCTCTTTACCGCCGTTAACTTTTATTTTGACGGGTTCAGGTCGTCCTGAAGGTTCTCCAGGCTTTCCAGGTCCGGTTCTGATGGGTTCTGTAAACGTGTTCAAACTGTATGAAAACATCAGGATTCTCCTCATCCTGCATAGCTTACGGTTTCCTCCTGCGTTCCGTAGATCTGTGACCTGAACAAGCGAATGTCGGCCATTGAGACGCTGCTGAGCTGCTTGGAGGAAAAAGTGACGTCAGCTAACAGGAAGGTAAACTCTCGTTGCCTGGTAACCGGCTTTAAACAATCAGTACGCAGCTATGGATGCCAGGCCTCATGTCAGCACATTGCTGGTTCCTGTTTGGTTGTGAAATGTTAGAGGAGACAGGAATGACATTTTCTCTGAACTAATAATGTTTTAACGGTGAAAGCCGTGGCTGCGCTGCCCCCTGGTGGCCGTTCACAGGAGCAGCAGACCGGCTGACCGGATCTCATCAAGACTCAAACCGTCTGGTTTCACTTCAAACAGAACATTTCCAGGTTCTGCTCTGGTTCTCTGCTGCGGTTCTGATCCGATTAACATCCAGAACACATCTGGATCTAAAACCATGCAGATTAGTGGAAATCATGAAAGATTAACTTCAGGTGTTCTTTCAGTAAAAACTTTATGTTTTATTAAATACTGACTTCAGAGGTTCAGCTGCTTTCACTTATTATTTACTTTAAGTTATTTATTTCAATTTTTACATTTATTTTTGACATTATTTTATGTTTTATTTATTTAATTTACTTTTATTTTCCATTATTGATTTAATTATTTTATTACAATGATGTGTTTAATTTATTTTAATCTAATAAATTTTTTACTCTTTGTGATTCCAGGTTTTTAAATGTCATTTTATTTAAATATTATTTATTAGTTTTATGTTATTTTATTGCTGTTTGTGCAGAACGTCACTGACTTTAGCTGAATGTCACTCAAACACATTTTCTAGATTATTTTGATGTGTTTTTATTGATATAAAATCAGTTAAACCCAGAGTCTGGGTTCTGGTTCTGCAGGACGTCCGAACCGCCCAGAGTCCGTCTCCTCCTCGTCTTCCTCAGTGGGATGAAGAGGAACTGGGAGCGGCAGCTCCGGCTGAAGCTGCACCAGCTGACCCAGAGCCTGAGCTCTGAGGAGGACGAGGCGGGCGGGCCGAGCCGGATCCCCACCGGAACCAGAACCAGGGCCAGGCTGGAGGAGGACCTGAAGGTTCGATGGGCTCCAGACGGAGAACGTTCGGCGTCATGACGTTTGTTTCCTCTCATTTCTCTGACAGCAAAGCAGAAATAAAATCATCCAAATGAGAAAATGAAGCAGCAGTGAAACGCTCTGCAGCTCCACCAGTAAAACCAGTTCAGCCCAGAATCCACCAGCAACTATCACTGCTTTAGTTTTTAGGGAAACATCCAGATTAAGACACTTAAAAAATGCAAATAAATTTATGAATTTTCAGTTGAGTGCAAATTCAGAAAAGCTTTTTTGATCCAAAAGGAAAATAAAATAACTTCATAAATGCAAAGTTTATTCATGTTTCACCTGTTTAACTGTTTCTGCTGTTTCTCCTGCAGGCCGACCGCCTCTCAATGAGCCCCGACACCCAGCAGCGCCCCCTGCTGGAGCCGCCCAGAACCGCCTCCGCCTGCAGAGGCTCCGCCTCCGCCTGCAGAGGCTCCGCCTCCGCCTGCAGAGGCTCCGCCTCCTTACTGCTGGAGCTGGAGGACAGAGTGGCTCAGGCAGCCGCCGACGTGCAGAGCGCCCAGAGCCAGGTCCGAACGGGTCAGAACCGGGTCTGAAAGGGTCAGAACCAGGTCACGGCGCCACTCAAACCCGAATCCACTAATGAAGCCGTTTCTCCTCAGGTTTCCTACATCGAGGACCGGATCGCTGCACTGAGCACCGCTGGAGGTCCAACAGACCGCAGGAGGAAGGTAAGGTCACTGGAGGTCATTAAAGGTCACTGGAGGTCATTAAAGGTCACTGGAGGTCATTAAAGGTCACTGGAGGTCATTAAAGGTCACTGAAGGTCATTAAAGGTCACAAAGTTTTTGCAGCTGATTAATATATCATCACCTGTTTATAAATATCAGAGCTTCCGGCCAGACTAAGAAAATGTGTTTTATGTTGTGATATTAGCAGAAGAAAATATTCAAACTAAGAGAAAAATGATTTTAACAAACCTTTGATAGGTTTATGAGGATCTGCTGTGAGCGGCTCAGTCTGACATTATTTATTCTAAATAAACCTTTTAATTTCCTGCTGCTGATCATTTGATGCTGATGAGTGAAAACTATCAAATGTTATTTATAACTTAATGATCAGCGTTGCTCATTTTGACCCAGATTGTTTCATGCAGTTCTCATGTTCTAAATATTACAACCTTATTACATTTATTATGCTGTTATTGTAATATTCTGGTGTTTTCTCTTATTATTACATCTTAATTTGCATTTTATTATGACTTCTTTCTTCATTCTCAAATTGTTATTACAATATTTTCTGCCAATATTACATCGTTGCTTTCCTTTTATGGATATTCTCACATTTTTATGACTTTATTCTCATAATTATTATTATTTAGGTTTTATTTTTGTATTATGACTTTTCTTCATATAATTTGGAGTTTTGGAGAAAACTTTTCTTTCCAGCTGTGGCTCTGAACCTCGGATCGTTTGTCTCCTCGTTCAGCCAACAGCTCCTGGTGAACTCTGACCTTTGCTCTGACCTTTGGTCTGACCTCTGCTCTCTGTTTGCAGTCGGCGATCCCGGTCCGGACTCGGAGACTCTCCCACAACGTTCCCAGCAGTAAGCGCCGTGTTGAAGCTCTGCCAACAGGGCGACACGCTTTGAGTTTCCTGTTCTGGAGATCAGCAGAACCTCCAGCCAGAGCAACATAATAAACATAATAAACATGAATAAACATGAATAAACATGAATAAACATTAATTCAGCTTTATTAGGAAATTAATCATCATATTTTCACTGATAGAAATGAAAACAGCCTTTATTGGCAAACCTTCTGTCCCATGAAGGTCTCTTAATAAAACCTAAAGCACTTTTGCCAAACTAAAATAAACTAACAAATAAATATCTAGATGTTTATTTTCATGCTCTTATTTTGAAGTGGGTGAAGACGGCAACAGTTCCGTTTCCTTTTCTAATGTTCAGTATTTTCCTTGTAACACATGGTGTGATAATTAGCTAATGCTAATTTATCGCATTAGCATTAGCTTCAATTTAATATAATGCTGCTTTAGCAAGTTAGCGTTAGCCTCTGCTACATACTGTTTTGATGTAGCGCCACAGAACAGAAGTCCTCCAGACCACTAGGGGGAGTCTGGAATCTATAATACTCCCTTCTTTAATATGTTTTATTATATTCATGTCTTTACTGAGGAGATGGTGTTGTAGCATTAGGTGGTCGACTCCCCCTAGTGGTCTGGAGGAGTTTCCATTTTAATTATTTCAAATACAGAAAAGTTAACAAAATAATTCATGTTCTAAATAATTATGTATTTTGGGGCTTTTCTTCTGTACAATATAATCAGAAATCCTGATTATATTGTAATAATCAAACATGCTATTTGATATTGTGTTATTTATTGCAATACATGAGAAATTTAAGCTGAAGCAGGAAGTGATGTCATCAGCTCAGTAACAGTAACGTCTCTGCGTTACAGAATCTGGGGGTGACGGTGCGCTGATGAAGAGGAGGCTGAGCATCATGTGACCTTCATCGCTTTGCTTGGAGACGGAGGCAGCAGGGGGCCTCTCGTTACCGTGGCAACGGGATGCCGCTCCAGCCCATTACCGTGGCAACGGGATGCCGCTCCAGCCCATTACCGTGGCAACGTCTTTATTTTTTATGTCTGTCTTTATTTTGTTTGAAGGTTTTAATCATAACCAAGCGTGAATTAATTGGTAACAGTAGCAACGTGATGGAGCTGCTGGAGGATTTCAGTTTTATTATTTCTGAAGTTTGTCTTTATTTCTGTCAGTAGAACCAGAACCAGAACCTCCAGCCGGTTGGCATCACGCTGCGTCTGCAGGTCCGACTAAAATGCCACTCACAAGATGGCGGCTGCACCACAGCTCTGCTTCAGTCTGGCCTTCATTTTAGATCAGTGCATTCTTACTTTATGCTGATGTGAACTTTTTGTAATCTGTTTCACTTCTATATTTTTGTCTGTGTTGGTTTTTAACTGTTCGGCGACCAGGAGAATCCTGAGAGATACTGTAAAATAAAATGCTTTATTCTGATCGTTGTTGTTATTATCAGCAGTTATTAGCTGCTTCAGGACGAGCAGCTGAAGGAACACGACTAGAACTGAAAATCCAGAAAGAATCCAGAACCAGAACCTCTGCTTTGGTGTCAGAACTGGGTCCAGTTTTCATTTCCATCTTTTGAAATTGTTTGTTCTCCATCAGATTCATGTGGACTCACATCGACAGAAACTCAAACTGTCTGAAGAACCAAACCCGGGAGCTTCTGCCAGGTCCTGATCATCCAGACTGGTGGCTTTAACTGGGCTGACTGGCTGACTGGTGGCTTTAACTGGGCTGACTGGTGGCTGACTGGTGGCTTTAACTGGGCTGACTGGTGGCTGACTGGTGGCTGTAACTGGGCTGACTGGTGGCTGACTGGTGGCTTTAACTGGGCTGACTGGTGGCTGTAACTGGGCTGACTGGTGGCTGACTGGTGGCTTTAACTGGGCTGACTGGTGGCTTTAACTGGGCTGACTGGTGGCTGACTGGTGGCTGTAACTGGGCTGACTGGTGGCTGACTGGTGGCTTTAACTGGGCTGACTGGTGGCTTTAACTGGGCTGACTGGTGGCTGTAACTGGGCTAACTGGTGTCTGACTGGTGGCTTTAACTGGGCTGACTGGTGGCTGTAACTGGGCTGACTGGTGGCTGTAACTGGGCTGACTGGTGGCTGTAACTGGGCTGACTGGTGGCTGTAACTGGGCTGACTGGTGGCTGTAACTGGGCTGACTGGTGGCTGACTGGTGGCTTTAACTGGGCTGACTGGTGGCTGTAACTGGGCTGACTGGTGGCTTTAACTGGGCTGACTGGTGGCTGACTGGTGGCTGTAACTGGTGTCTGACTGGTGGCTTTAACTGGGCTGACTGGTGGCTGTAACTGGGCTGACTGGTGGCTGACTGGTGGCTGTAACTGGGCTGACTGGTGGCTGACTGGTGGCTGTAACTGGGCTGACTGGTGGCTTTAACTGGGCTGACTGGTGGCTTTAACTGGGCTGACTGGTGGCTGTAACTGGGCTGACTGGTGGCTGACTGGTGGCTGTAACTGGGCTGACTGGTGGCTTTAACTGGGCTGACTGGTGGCTGTAACTGGGCTGACTGGTGGCTGTAACTGGGCTGACTGGTGGCTGACTGGTGGCTGACTGGTGGCTGTAACTGGGCTGACTGGTGGCTGTAACTGGGCTGACTGGTGGCTGACTGGTGGCTTTAACTGGGCTGACTGGTGGCTGACTGGTGGCTTTAACTGGGCTGACTGGTGGCTGTAACTGGGCTAACTGGTGGCTGTAACTGGGCTGACTGGTGGCTGTAACTGGGCTGACTGGTGGCTGTAACTGGGCTGACTGGTGGCTGACTGGTGGCTGTAACTGGGCTGACTGGTGGCTTTAACTGGGCTGACTGGTGGCTGACTGGTGGCTGTAACTGGGCTGACTGGTGGCTGTAACTGGGCTGACTGGTGGCTGTAACTGGCTGACTGGTGGCTGACTGGTGGCTTTAACTGGGCTGACTGGTGGCTGTAACTGGGCTGACTGGTGGCTTTAACTGGGCTGACTGGTGGCTGACTGGTGGCTGTAACTGGGCTGACTGGTGGCTGTAACTGGGCTGACTGGTGGCTGTAACTGGGCTGACTGGTGGCTGACTGGTGGCTTTAACTGGGCTGACTGGTGGCTGACTGGTGGCTGTAACTGGGCTGACTGGTGGCTTTAACTGGGCTGACTGGTGGCTGTAACTGGGCTAACTGGTGGCTGTAACTGGGCTGACTGGTGGCTGACTGGTGGCTTTAACTGGGCTGACTGGTGGCTGACTGGTGGCTGTAACTGGGCTGACTGGTGGCTTTAACTGGGCTGACTGGTGGCTGTAACTGGGCTAACTGGTGGCTGTAACTGGGCTGACTGGTGGCTGTAACTGGGCTGACTGGTGGCTGTAACTGGGCTGACTGGTGGCTTTAACTGGGAGGTCGAGTGGAGAGGAAGAGTTTATGTCAGTGAGTTACAGAAGAATCAAGAGGAAAGTGGAGCCTGTCGGTTTGGATTTGATGATCAGTCCTGAGATGCTCTGATGATGAAGCTACAATAACAGAGAAACTTTCATCTGCTCCTCCTCTTCCTCCTCCGTCCCAGCAGGCAGCATGTGGACTGTCCTGCTGTCCTTCTGTCCTGCTGTCCTTCTGCAGCGTCTCACACCTTCATTCACTGACTGCCGGTTCCTGGGTTTGGGTTCTGGTCCGGTTCTGGTTCCTCAGTGTTCAGTCTCTACATGTTTGTCTCTTTCATGCAAAACATTTTGATTTTCTGTTTGTTTAATTTTTAAAACTCTTTCAAAATATTTCTATTGAAATATTTTTGAATAATGTTTGCAGATATTTGCTAACCTCCCAAAAAGACCTGATTTTGTTGCATAAACAAGCTGAAAGTATCTCTTTCTTATTTGTGCATTTTATATATAAATCTAGGAATTATGGATAAATGTATTAATTTTTACAGATGTGATGTATATTCTCATAATGAATTTATTCGTCAATAATCTTCATTTTATGCTAATGTATTGAATCTGAGCTTTGGATCAAATTTTCCTCTCTCCATGTTGTCCAAATTATTTCAAAGTTTTCTAATGAATTATAATAGATAATAAAGTTCTGATATTTATCCATAACTTATTTTAACTGTTAACTTTTCCACTTGTGTTTCTGGGATTTTGTTTTTATTAAATCACATTCGGATTCATGACCAAACCCCCAGTTCACTGATAAAAACTTATAAAAATATTTGTGATCCAACTTAAGTTCTGAAAGTTACATCAGACTATTGGATTTGGTCTAGTTTCAAGTCTTGAATCTTTTCTAGTCTTTTTTACCTCCAGTTGTTTTTGGTTCAAATAATAGTTTTCTTATGTAGAGTTTACTGGGATAAAATATGAACTCTTTAATGTTCTGCTTCACCTCAAACATAATTTAATCATATTCCTCGTTATATGATTATTTGTCAAAATTGAAATACAGAAGGAAATAAATGTAAGCCTTCAGTTTCCATTTCCGACCAGTGATATGAACAAACTGTTATTTAGCATAAAATGAAGAACTTTTAAGATAATGAACAGATTTCTTTTTAATATCTGTTCAGAAATAAAATATTTTATTTCACAAGATGGATTTATGTTAATATTTATTTTTGAAGACATCAAATTATTCAGAAATCTCAAGACCCCCTTCAGTACCCGTGCGACCCCTGTGGGGGCAGCGCACCCCTTGTTGTGGACCTGTTGATGATTCAGCAGCTTTTAGTCACAAGAAGAAGCGAAGCGCCATTTTGGACCACAAACATTTTAATTACAAACCAATGAATGAATCATCAGAATATTGATATTCAATTTGTATCCAGTTTTTCTCCTTTGATAAATTTTCCTGTCAAACATTAAACCTCATAAACATCACAAACCTCACAAACATAACAAACCTCATAAACATAACAAACCTCATAAACATCACAAACCTCATAAACATCATAAACCTCATAAACATCACAAACCTCACAAACATAACAAACCTCATAAACATAACAAACCTCATAAACCTCATAAACATAATAAACATCACAAACCTCATAAACATAATAAACCTCATAAACATAATAAACCTCATAAACATAATAAACATCATAAACCTCATAAACATCAAACCTCATAAACATCATAAACCTCATAAACATCAAAAACCTCATAAACATCATAAACATCACAAACCTCATAAACATAACAAACCTCATAAACATCACAAACCTCATAAACATCACAAACCTCATAAACATCATAAACCTCATAAACATCACAAACCTCATAAACATAACAAATCTCATAAACATCACAAACCTCATAAACATCACAAACCTCATAAACATCATAAACCTCATAAACATAATAAACATCAAAAACCTAATAAATATCATAAACCTCATAAACATCAAAAACATCATAAACATCACAAACCTCATAAACATTACAAACCTAATAAACATCACAAACCTCATAAACATTATAAACCTCATAAACATCATAAACCTCATAAACATCATAAACATCACAAACCTCAAACATCACAAACCTCATAAACATCATAAACCTCAAACATCATAAACCTCATAAACATAATAAACCTCATAAACATCATAAACCTCATAAACATCAAAAACATCATAAACATCACAAACCTCATAAACATTACAAACCTCATAAACATTACAAACCTAATAAACATCACAAACCTCATAAACATTATAAACCTCATAAACATCATAAACCTCATAAACATCATAAACATCACAAACCTCATAAACATCACAAACCTCATAAACATCATAAACCTCAAACATCATAAACCTCATAAACATAATAAACATCAAAAACCTCATAAACATCATAAACCTCATAAACATCAAAAACATCATAAACATCATAAACATCACAAACCTCATAAACATTACAAACCTCATAAACATCAAAAACCTCATAAACATCATAAACCTCATAAACATCAAAAACATCATAAACATCACAAACCTCATAAACATTACAAACCTCATAAACATCACAAACCTCATAAACATTATAAACCTCATAAACATCATAAACCTCATAAACATCATAAACATCACAAACCTCATAAACATCATAAACCTCATAAACACAATAAACATCAAAAACCTCATAAACATTATAAACCTCATAAACATCACAAACCTCAAACATCAAAAACCTCATAAACATCATAAACCTCATAAACATCATAAACATCATAAACCTCATAAACATCACAAACCTCATAAACATCAAAAACCTCATAAACATCAAAAACATCATAAACATCACAAACCTCATAAACATCACAAACCTCATAAACCTCATAAACATCATAAACCTCATAAACATAATAAACATCAAAAACCTCATAAACATCATAAACCTCATAAACATCAAAAACATCATAAACATCAAAAACCTCATAAACATCAT